TCGGAAGAGTATCAATAATTTCCGCGTGTCCCTCTCCATTTACGTGTCATCTGCGATCGTCACAATCGATCTTATGACGAACGCGAACGCAGGCTGCGCATGCTTTTATATTGATATGATGCTTTTTTTATCACGAAATAGAAATAGTGAGATAATAAAATGTAAACGTCTCTATTTACATGCAATCTCGTGCCAAACGTATATAAAATTTTTGGAAAGTGCAATGTAAAAGTCGTCAGGCATCAAAATTTGCAATTTTTCTCAACAAGATTATAAAAAAGAAAACTTTATATAAAATTTTGAGATTTAACTAACGTACAGAAATTTGTATCGCTATTTGTTTCAATATAGTGATAAGTATGTCTTCCGAATGTTTTTATAATTTAATTTGATTATTAATTATGAGAAAAATTGTACACAGCAAAAAAAAATATGTTGATGAGATTAATTAATCTTATGATATTTTGCGAGCAAATTCAAGCAACTTCGTGAGATAAGCTGAAAAATTAAACGTTATACGTGAAATATAAACACAATTTTTGACAAATATACTCGGCTTCTTATTGACAACCAGTCATATTTTACTTTAAATCAATGACGTACGTTAGTGTATAATACTGTCGATCATCGGTAACTGTCACAGCTTTCGAGTTAAATCAACAAAACAGCATGAAAACGTCAATCCTGATTGATGTTTCATTAAAATGTCAATCGCCGCACACGTGGTGTATCAAAGTCAAGTGCGTATTACATCGCGCGCAAGAACTTCTTGTAAAAGTTACCGTGACGAGTTCTGACTTTCGCACAGATTTTTAATGACACGTTTCAGGCTTGCGACTACCTCATGACAAATTCTGCGAAATTAGACAAATGAATTTTCGTCGCGTGTCGGGGATATATTTGAGAGCGAGGTGACGACATCGCGCGTCGTTTTTACGATTAAATCGCGACCCCGTTCCGAAACAATAGACATTTGCATTCACATGCATTCGGCCTCGCATTGCGGAAGGATATCCTGCGTGACTTATGTAATCCAAGGCCGTCGTGAATGAAAGCTGGTTTCGATTGACTGACCACCGCTGTCGCCGCGGCTATCACTCTGCTCTACCGCGCTTGTATCAATTATCGATACGTATATTGAAGGTCGGAAACGCGTATGAAATCGGTCCCGATAAATTCGAATCCCCGTATTCGCGGCTTAATACAGGTATAAAATGCCGGCATATCTTGCGCTAGCACTCATTGTTAGCTTGCCGAGAGAATATACGATCTCTCTCTCTGCGCAAGATATATCGTGGTATTATCAAACTCGCAAAGTTTGCATGGATTGTTTTGTATATCTATAGACGTAATAGGTACAAACTGCGCATTCCTATATAAAGTTGTCATACTGTTAGCTCAGAAAGAGTGAGGTAGCTTGTTCTCTCTCTTTCTCTCCCCCCCCCTCTCTCTCTCTCTCTCTCAACTACTCTAAAGTGTCGAGTTGAAGAGAAACGTTGGTGTAATTTAATATAGAACTTTAAATATAAACAAGAGTTGTACAAACAACCGTCATTTTAATCTCAGAGTCGATTGTATATCTTGAAACAAGATAAAAATAACAAAAGTGAGCAAATGCATTAGATGATAAAAATTATAAATATTCCAGTAAATTCGTTCACTTTTGTAATTCTCATTTTAAGATACACAATCGATCCCTTTCTTTAAATTTACATTAAAATTTTATATTAAAATTATATTAATAATTATAACAATTATATTAAAAATCACGGAGCATTTTTTCATTAGACGATAGACTAATTAGATCTAAAATGGCGGTCGAGAAAAGGGAGCCAATAAGAAATCGCGATTGTCGACATTCGCAAATAAAAGAATTACTCTTGATATCTACTGCTCTAAATTCAATATAACTGCGTTCTCTTTTTAATGGAGCACAGTTACTAAAATCAAGCAATGCGCAGTCTATATTCATTACGTCTCTCTCTATAGGTATATCCATCTCTTTGAAACTCGAGCGATGCGATTTTAAATAACGATGGTAATTTGGACAATATATATTGATTAAAATTGATGGTGGGGTATCGGTTTTAAAAAAAGAAAAAACTTCTCGGTGAGATAATCGAATTGAGGTCATCATATGGAATTACTGCAGAATGCGTGCCGTAGGACATTTTTTCCAAACATCGGTTTGCGCTAAATGGTTCGGATTTGAGCGACTCTTTTAATTAAGAGCAAATATCGATTCGCAACACGCGCAACGATGCAAATCTTTTGTCGATGCATTGAATTTTATGCGATTTATGTTATTATAGAAGCTGGAAATTTTCATCTCGCGAATTATGAATGTTATGATATTTCAAAAGCCATCCATTTTACGTCCTGAGCGAGCAAAAGAAGCTTAATATTATTAGCAGAATAAATAATCGTTCTCCGTAAAAGAGCTTGGCGTAAAAAATGTATATGGAAAGAAAACTAAATGGAAACATATTTTTCTCACGTTTTGATACTATAAATTCGTAGTTATTTATGTGAGCATACTTGATGAAAGAATCATTATCTATATGCATTAGGTGGTTTTATAACACTCATAAGAAGTTAATGTTTCCTGCGACGTAATAAATCCTTAAAACGGCATTGTGTGCGACGAATATTAGCGGATGGTCGAACCTTATTTTGTTGGTAATAGTATCGTAATAAAAACTTTTATTTCAGCTTATCCTGTTCTTACGAGGAGTATCATATAATTGACCAAAGTTACATTTTAGTAATCCCCTTAAGATCGGACTCTTGCGGGAAAGGAAAGCTCTCCCACCTCCTTCCTTCTAATTTTGTGTCTGATCAATAACGACATGTGTCACTTTACGTTTTGCTCCTGTTAAATATATTAAAACCAGAGGAAGCTTATAGCTGACGAAGGGAAATAAATAGCAAACGTATAGAAAATAAATAAAAATGACAAAAACGTTTGCTTGTATACTCGATAAATAAAATTAAGGGGCCTTTTCTGTAACTATAGCATTATAAGAGTTATAAAATGAGTCCCTAAATAATATATTCGAATCATCTCATTGAGATATATTTTTACTGGAGAATCCAATAAATGTTAATAATGCTAGCGGTTTTCCCCCAAATGTCATAATACACAGCGTATTACGTTTCATGCGCAAAACCATGCGAAATGAAACATAAACAACAAATAAATAATAACAATATGAAGTATCTTTCTTTTGATACAACACAAGTTTGATAAATTCACGAAAAAGCACGTATTCCATTTTCGAAATATTTTCGTTTTTATATCCCAGAATTTGTCTATTGATAAACAATATTTTGCATGTAAAAAAAAACAATTCATAAATCTCAAAAACAAATCTTTCTGTAGAGAATCGATTTTCCCACGGGTGTTTTGGCACCGTTCGTAAAAAGCTGGTCGATCACAAGCTGGTAGATTTCAGATAATGTGGAATCATAGCGCTTTCGGGTTGGTACGCTTTAATCTTAGTTTAACCTACTCTTTGTCTTTTTCCTGGAATCCGCATTAGAAGGAGGTGAAGAATCAGTTAAACTTAAATTAAGATTGACGTTTGCAAAATTACTTATAAAATAATGAGGTACTTGAAAAGACGCATCTAAATCAAAACTTACGATTCGACTCCAATTTTTGTTATTTAAATTAAAAAAAATATTTTTTAAATCATTTGTTACGTTTTTTCATTCTTACGAATAAATATATCTCCTTATTAAAATGATGTTGCGAAGACACCTAGAAGAGATCGGAAACTTCAGACCTTTAAATGTGTCATTTAAATAGATTCGTTTTTCTATTATTAAAAATCCAATCAACATTAATTGTTAGTCGAATTAAACAGATAAAAAGAGAGAACCCTTCGACTGTCGTGGGAGAGCCGCGCGGCTTTTTCGCTTCGCGTTGCGGCACGGTTTTTACGAAGAGATCCCGAAGGATTTACTCAGGACTGTGTTCTTAATATCCGGAGACGTTTAATGGCGAGATCCGTTCGAGGGAGAAAAAGATCTCAGGCCGGCGAGGGCGGCGGCGCAAAACGCCACGCGCTCGCATTTCGCGTTTCTCAAGAATTCGCGGAGAAACGTAGCAGCGACGTGTTGACGCCGCGCGAATCAACGCAAGAACGACGATTGTCCCCGTCGTCGTCTTCTCAAGAATCGTCGGCTGGCATTCTCCCGTTCCAAATGTCGGGAAGCCAGGCCGACCCGGGGGGCTGTCAACATCTCGCAAGATCGAGGGCGATCGCGTGCGTGCCGGATCCTCGGGACTAGGACGACTAGGACTTGGCCTTGTCGCTCTGTGCCTTGTCGAAGCCGTCGATCAGTGTCTCGATGATGAACTTGATCGTCAGCTTGTAGATGTTCTCCACATTTTCCGAGTATCGATCCTCCAGCGTGCGTTCCACCGCATCCAGAAACGGTTTTTCGATTTTCTGGAAATAGAACGTCCTATCACGTATGAACTACATTTTCGCTAATGTACATTTAAAATAACTGTATTATTTAATAAAAAAAAGCAATGTCTTTTTTTTGGAAGATTAGAGTCTGTATTAAAATTAAAATTTGCGTGATTCAATTAAAATATATGGTATACTATTATTTTATTCTTGGTATATTTTATTATTCTTAATTATATTATTCTAAGACGAAATATAATTCTAGAATGGAAACAACTTCCATGACTGTGTAACATCCGAGATTAGTACGACGACATAGATGCGGAAACAATTTTCAGAAGCCGGCACTCTGTATCTCTCTTCCTGGGTTTAGAACAGCTAATTATCTGTTTATATGTTGCCAAGCATACGATACAAAAAGAAGAAAATATTATTCCCTACTGAGAGAAAAAATACCTTGATACTAAAAAATAAACTATTAAGACCCATCAAACAAATAATTTTCTTGTGTTAAATAAATTATTTATTCGGTGGGTTCTAATAACTTATTTTTTAGTATCAAGGATGTTTTTTCTCTCAGTGTAAAAAAAATGTTTCCAGTAAATAATCATTCGGTAATTATTTTTAGTGTAATGCTGAAGTAAAAATGCCATTTGAAATATTTTTCTAAAAGAGCTAAGAGACTAGTTTTGCAAATTCTGTAATATTTACTTTTGTAACTCTTCTTTTTTCCGATTAAATGATTTGATACGTCATTTGTAAGCGAAAATCTCTAAAAAAATATTTCGTTTGTTTGCTTCATATTTATTTTAAGCATTGATAAAATCGAAGCTATGGGTCGCGGAAGAAGATAATATCAATACGGCGAATATTTAAGCATCGATCCATTTCGAGCGGCGTGGTCGCCAACAATACGAGGACTGCCGATTGAATCGACGATTGTGTAGCGATCGTCATATCCACGGTTCACAATAGACTTTGTAGGATTGTCCGACAGGAATTATCAATCCTATATACAGTGACTAAGTCACGAGACTCGCATTAGATGGGAAAGGAAGGCGAACCGGATTTGATTTCGTGCCAAGAGATTGAAACCGTGGCAAACGTTTCACACTGTGAATAAATGCGATGTTAGTTCTCTGTAATGTAAACCTTCAACCCTCCTCGCATCGCGCAGATAACTTGACTTTATTCCTATCTGAATGACATAAAAACAAACTCAGAATTATGTCATTGCTGAAAGCTGCATTTTAGAAAGAACTAAATGATAAGTTATCTTTGATCGAAATTAATTTCTGAAAATGTCTCTCTCGTGAAATATATATTATATCGTAAGTCATTACGATTAATGGCCTACTTATGGAATTATATCCTATCTTGACAATATAATATTACTTTTTTATCTTAAAATTAATTTTACTTCAATAAAATGCCTACTATCTCCATTTTTAACCACATTTTTAAGCATTCTTATGCTTGCCTTTTTCTATATAATACCTTTATTCCTTTTCTTCCTCTAGCGAGAAGATAAAGCGACGCGAGAAGAGCCCCCAGCACGGCTTCCTTCTCACGTGCACAAAGAAAATTCCGTTTCGATCGTCGCAAAAGTAATAAAAAAATTTGCATGCATATGCGAGAAAGTAGGGAAACGTTATTACTTTTGCGTATTGCATTAAGGCCCTTTTCATAAATTTTTCTTTTCGACACGCATTACGTGAATTATTATTTTTCATCACCGTTGCATTTTATGTCAAGATGTGCGTACATATTGTTATTGAGAATTAAAAAATTGAAATTTATTGTTACATGTGCAGTATTATTTTTTTTCGTAAGCTCCAATGCTTAAATTAAAAATTTTTTTTATTCTGATTGAGAAAAATTAAGTTGGTAAATATATAAAACTTTACTGATACATGAATTTATTGATATATAAGAAGGAAAGATTTATTGGACGAATCAAATTGACACATGCTTTCGTTCAAATAAACATCAAAATTATCGAGAAAATCACATATATTCAATGCAACGAAATGTCCGTTGATTCTGTATACGATTATATTTGTAATCATATTGGGAAAATGCATTCTCCCATTAAATGTAATTAATTTAATGAATTCGACATTTGTTTGTATACTTGTTTGTGCATGGACAGCTATCAAATTTATGCAACCAAGCAGAATGATTAAGTGTATAATGTTCGATTATATATATTATATATAGTTAATCAAACATCGGAATTTCCCACGAATTTTCCTCACTTCAATCATAGCAAAAATGTGATTTCATGCTGTTTAATTATTCGTTCCATAGCGTATCGATTTATATTACAACATTACAACCAACTTGGATGACAGAAGCGTTATAGCATCAATTTTTGTGTTCTACGTTCGAAGTGTTTTTCGACTAACAGGATCGTAAATAAAATTATAGAATATTTACAAGTCCCTCGTTAGCAATGACTGTCCTTTCAGATGTTTCCCCGTAGTTTGCACTTCAAATCGAAGTCATTATTCTGAATTTGTCTCTCTCGAAATAGCATTCATGTATTTTACAAAGCCAATGAAAAAATTTATATTTCGTATTAGTATGTTCATATTAAAAGAATGTTACTTGCAATAAAAAATATTCGTGCAGAATTTTTCTGCAAAAAATCCAATACTAAAGTGAAATTTTAGCGTATTTATCTTCCACGATAATTATTTTATCACTGTTCTCAACGCTAAACGTACGTAAGAACATTTAAAAAAGAATGTTTTCTTTTTAGGTACCGTGGAGAATAGCAACGTGGCAAGCAAATGGCGGACACCAGCTGTGCAGTGGATTATGAAAATCCATGAGATAACAAAATACCGATGTGTTATACCTAGCGATATTACGAGATGAGAAGTCTCAACATTTGTTATTCAATTTCTCTCGCAGCGAATTTTTCTTCTTTGCAAAGGGACGGCATAAATTTCGAGAAAAAAGTGTAATGCGAATAATAAAATGTTGGATAAAAAATCGAATATACGAAGATAATAAAATTGAATTTTTAATTAGTAGTACGAACTCATAACAAACCCGTCCACTCTGAATTTTAATGTATACTGAGTCAGCAAGATTGTAATATTTCTTAAATAATAAATTTGATATTATTTATTTAATTAAAAATGGAATAAAAGCTATAAATTATTTATTCTCCAATTTAACGAATAGTAACATAAATTTTTAAAAATGTAAAAGACTGTAAAATGATTTTATTCGACTAAGAAAATATACTATAGAAATTAAATGTTCATACATTGTGAGGAACATAACGAAAGTTTGTTCCACATTTACGTCGCGCAAGCGTCGTTATACTTTAATTGTGCATAAATCTCTTGCTTGGAGACAGGTACTGAAATAGTTTACAGTGTCTCCCAAAAGTTTTCAGTTTAGTCTCTTTGATTTCCATATTGCGAGAGATAAGCGCGGCACAAAGAGAAAATGTTCGCCAAGAGATGGGCGTATTTCTCTCTCTCCGACAAGTGAGAATTTTCGCACGTTTTCCCGGTATATTCTGAGGTAAACTACCTATGTTCTGATATATGTAAGGCAAGTCTAACAAGCTTGCTAACGCAAAAATATGTACTTTTTTAGAAAGTGATACAAATGTATTCTAAAGTAAAAACTTTCTGAGTTCTTAATAAAAAAAACTAATTACATTGATAACGCTTTTTAGGGCTTTCACGAGTATTATCTTCAAAGATACCAGCGGGTTATCGTCATGTTTTTATCCATTGCTAATGCCAACGTTTCATGAACCTTGCCGTTCACTTCACCAGGGCGAGGAGCGCACTGATACTTCGCTAGTATCAGTGCGTTCCTCGCCCTGATGAAATGAACGGCATGGTTCACGAAACGTTGGCATTAGCAATGGATATCTTTGAACTGATTACATTGTATTATTACTAAAAAATTACCAATATTTTAACACGTAAGACAAGTCTAACTGACTTGCTCACACAAAAATATACACACGGAAAGACTTTGCTGAAGTATCTAAAAATTTAGCTAGATCTAAAAATAATTTTGTTGAATTCTCAAAATAATTATATAGGAGTTGAAGTATAATGAACAATTTGTGAACAATTTTGACATTCTAATAACGAAATTGAGCTACATAATTATTCTAATAGTAACAAAATTATTAAAACTATTTTCAGAGCTTTCTTGATTAATTTTTAGATATTTCGACGAAAGCGTTCTATCCGTGTAATAATAAGTTGAAAAAATATAAAGTTTTTTTAAAAAATAACAAATATTCGAAAGTATTTTGAATTTCTAATTTAATAATAAGACTAATTATATTATTATATAGAAAAATGTCTTGATTATTAGAAATATATATATATATACAATTAGTCAACTTCCAATTTCACGTTCAATCTTACGATGTTTTTATTGTATATACATCTTATTGTGTACGCGTAACAAGACAGACCAAAATAAATTATTACCTTTAATATCTCTAAGATAATTTATTTCTTACCGAATGCATATATTTTTTATATTAAAGTTAATTTTCTACTTAGGTACATTGTCTTATTTTTTCCTTCAGTCATATTACAAATGTCTTATTTTCTCGCCTAGTTAATAGTTTGATAACTGGGACACTCGTCCATTGCGTGTTTGTGTCATATGTCGCGTATGACTATTGCAAGGTATGGGCGATTTGCGTTTCCTTTCGAGGAGGACTCACCCAGAAGTATTGCCGGTTGAATCCGGGGATCTTCGTGTGAGAGGCCCCGACCTCGTGAAGATACGTCAAGAACGCATCCATGTCGTCCAGGCTCTTGATACCTTCGTCGAGGGTGGTCATGACCGTTTTCGCGTGCTCGGCCAGTTCCATGCTCGTAGACTGTTGCTCCTTTGTCTTTTGATCCCGAAACTTCGTGAACATATTTAGCAATTCCGTGTTCTCTTCAAATAACCTGGAACCACACGGTGTGTGGCATCATTAGAGGAGTTGTGAAGACACTAATAGTTGTGTAATATCGTAATATGTGACAAGAAGTTATATAATGCGCTAATAATTGTTTATATTAAAATTAAGTCAAATATAGTTTGTTTTTTATACGTGAGATACAGGAAATTTTATATAAAATCTTATATATAAAAGATAAGCGAGAATATCTTAAATATGTTTGCTCATCATTAATAATACTTTTGAGGCTTCCATGGGTATTTCCTTCAAGGAAATTATGCAGTTTCCGGGTTATCTTCGTATTTTGCATCGTTAAACGCCAATGTTTCGTAAACATTGCAGTTCACTTTATCAGGATGAGAAGTAACCTTATAGTCATAAATGCATATTGGAACAAAATTTAAACAAAGTGTATTTAAAAATAGATTTAACAAATATTGTTATTCATGATTAAAGTAAGGATTAAAGCAACTTACCGTTTGAAATATGCAATCGTTAAAGACAACTAATCTTTTGGAAAAACAAGTTGAAGAAGCAAGGCATTTTCGATTAAAAATTCAAAAGATGTGAGAAGTTGAAGCAAAGAAGTGAAACTAAGTGATTAAAAAAAACGTTGAGCATTTTTGATAAGCGTAAACTTTATCTGTTCTACAAGAACCATAAATTTCAAACTCAGTTCTTTGATGGTCCGAGATAAGTTTTTCTTTTCGTCCCAATTTTTTCCGAATATATTTGGCGAGTCCCCCAAAATTTCACACACACAATTTGCATATAAAAATTTATTCCTCAATTCCTTCGAAATGCCTGATATTTCGCGATACCTTCTCACGACATTTTTCACTGCAGATTCAAAGAACCGTAAGGATAAAACCGATTGACGCCTTGAATTCTAAGTTCTACGTTATCTAACGTTGGCATACATCTACCACGAGAGAAATCGATTGCTAGGAAAAGACACGCTATTTGTTTCAATCCTAACTCGTTCGCATTTTGTTTGATTTCTTTCTAACATTTATTTCCCTCTCTTTCATGTGACATACGATACTTAACACAAATATAACCATCAATTTTATATTATATTTAGCACTGAAGAAGCTCGAAAGAATCCTGACGTTTGCCGAAATGTAGTTCACTCGCAAGTAAACAGGAATTTATTAAAAAAAATTTGTTGCAATCTTCGCGCGCACAGTTTTCTCTATCTCTTCCTCGTATCAAAATTTGGTTAACTTTATCTCTTCGAGTTTTATACTCGTTGAAATAACGAGTTCACGTGGGCCTGATTATAGCAGCTCGACAAAAATGTTTTTGTTTCGCGGACGGTAGCTCTCGGCCATTCATGAAATACCTCTTTGTACAACGAGGCATTCCAATCTCGCGCTTGTCTATCTAGGGGAAAATGTACGCGCAAAGGAGAAAATATAAACATAGTTATTTTATTTTTGATGATTTCAACAGTTAATAAGTGCGCGCTGCAATTCAATACCTGCATCAGACCATGCATTGGAGATTGAAAATTGCGAATTGAAAATTAAAATTCGACCAATCAGATAAATTTAATTTTTATCTGTTTCATTCTAATTGGAGTTGAATTTTAATCCTCACTTTGCAGTTTTTGATCTTCAATGTATAATCTGTTACGGACTCAACACTCATGAAACGCACTTTGTACTTCTTTTTCAGTCTGCAAAATATAATGTTCGTTTTTACGCTTTTATATTTTGCAAACAACAGAAAAAATATGATAAAATAATAAAATTTTCTCTTCATGATAACGTATCTGCTCACGATAAATGTATCTGCTTACATAGTATCGCTATATAATATTTATCTTTACTTATCAAATTTTTTCTACGCGCATAAAAATCACAGAACATATAATTAATAGATAACAAAAGTCAAAATGTTTTGTTTAAATATATTTTACGGCAAAATAAAAAGTACGGGACAATTCTTTTATACCTCGTTTAAAGATTGCATTACAAAATTAATCAGCGCGTCCTTAGAAGTTTGATGTTGTAACCTCGGCGACTCGAAAAAAAATGTTGCATCAGAAAAAATCGTGAGATCGTCGATATTCAAATTGGTCCAATATTGCGTCAAGATTATTCAGCGCGCGTATTTTCCTTTCGCGTCCGTATAAATTATCTTTTCCGAAGGAACATAATATTTCGCACGATATCTGTCCATCGTGATTTTTCACGGTGTGCAAACTCGTTATACTGTCGGTTACAGCACAGCGCGAGTTTTATTTGATCTCAACGGATGAATGTTCACGAAGAAATAAAAATGAGTGCGCAAGGTTGTACAATTTTGTAAACTTCGTAAATTTAAGTATAATATACGAAATACCCTCCCCGAGGAGATCGTTCGCGAATGTATAAGTAAATAGTGCATCTTCACCTCCGTACGTCGGGCATAAATTTAAATAAAGAATGCTCCGGAGAGATATTTCATTTTTTACTTACATTAATTTAGACTTTAAGTATACACCGTCTATATAATAATTAATAGATATGAAACAAATAAAAATTCTCGCGAAAGTTATATTTTCAAAATGGGATGACATGTTATTTTTATTTGAAAACCTTTCATTTTTATGTTGCAATAATTCTGATTATGATTGCAATATTATTTTTTGCCAATATAAATAATTATCAAGGGGTAAACTTCTGACCAAAATTGTGTACCTCAATGTCTACTAATACCCAGTAAATGCCTAATTTTTATGCTTACTAATACTCTAGTAATGCGCACTAATGCCCTTAGTAATACTCTACAATGCCCAGTCTCGACTAGAATTCTAGTTGGGTTAACCTTATATGTTATAAGGATCTGGTTTGGTTGACGTAAGGTAATCCTAAATAAGGTACACCTAAGAAAAAGGTTCTCATTAGGTTTGAGTATGATTTATCTTTGTAAGGTTAAAATTGTTATATATTATAAGGATCTGGTTTAGTTGACCTAAGATAATCCTGAATAAGATACATCTAAGAATGTTCTCGTCAGATTTGGGTATGGTTGACCTCGTTTCTATAATACACAACCACGTCACAACATGGACGCGTTATTCGTAAGAAGAAAGCGTCCATAGTTTTATAAGAAGGCGTATGCAAGTCGATTTGGATAATCTCCTCGAGATTATAAAGTTCCTTCAGAATGTGCCTTCTGGATCTCTGAAATATATGTTTTTTGCTTCTTTTGGAATGTAATGCTAAATTGATAGCATTGGAACAATTTCCGACTTAGAAATTTATTCAGTGATTTTAGCAAGTCCTAGCCAGGTTGATCTTATTTCATTATCAGATCCTGATAAAATCCTTGTCAGGACCTGATGAGGCTATCCGGATAAGGACCCGATTACTGTGCTGTGTTACATGACTGATCAGGTCCCGATGAACTTACCCTATCAGGATCTGATAACGAAATAAGGTCAACCTGATTAGGACCTGCTAAAATCCCTGGATAAATTTCTAGTCGGAGTAATGCCTCATACCGCTTATTATAATACACAATTTTCCTCTTAAATAATGCCTCAATCTATACACTGCAATGTCCTCGACAGTTTATCCCTGGATAATTATTTTTAAAATTGTACATATTGTCATATTGCATTAATAATTTTATTCAACTAAAAATCAGATAAATTTTCTAATTTTCACATATAATATTTGAAAAAATATATTCCCTATCTCTTCTCTCCTCATAAAGAGACATATGTTATGTGATAATTGTGCACATATGACAGTTAAATCATCTGCAATATATGCTATCAAATCTCGCTCTTATCGCACTTTATCGTTATCGTTGTCCATGTTTCGTGCATATGTTTCATAAATCTCTGTAGATTGATTAAATATGGAAATCCCAGAGGATCGTACATTTTATTTTGCCGTCAGTTTCTGACATGTTGGGATATATGTACATATATATTTAAACAATAACGACTAACTACTAAATCTTGATCAAACTCCGATCAATGTGAATTGAATTTCTTTTGTCATCCCCGCTTTCGGAGCAAAAAATACTGCAATCTACGACATTTTTGAGCTTCAGTGCGCATCCCAAGCAGCAAAATAGGGCGAAATTACGTCTATTCGACCTTCTGATAGGTTATAAAATCTGTTCGATTAAGCCCAATTTACGTCGAATCGACATCGAAAAAAGGTAAATGGGGAATAAAGTTGATGTAATTTTATGGTCTAAATTAAGTAATGAAAGGCATTTCGTCTTATAAGTCATAGTCGGATTTGGTCAAATAAACCTAGCAGAAGGTCGAATATCGATAACATTTTGGTAATTTTGACCTAATTCTGACTAGCTTGTGCCCTCTCTTCTTTTGGCGATTCAGCTCGTCGAGACATCTAAAGATGGCAGCCCTGCACAATCCCAATAATTCTATCTAGACGGGTAACTATGCTATACATATAACATATGCGTGATATGGTTCCAACTAGCCATTGAAATAAAATATTAACAGTCCATCTCCACGTCAGTTTTGAAATTGAATATCGCTCGATATGTGACAGAAAAATAAGTGCGAAAGAAGATTTTCTGTACAGATTTTTATTTTACACTAAAAACAACGCGCCTTCGAAAACAAATAATTTAAACAATAATTAATTAATTGTTAATTATTTGACAACAATATGTTTTGCACTTAGCACAATAAAAATGTTATAATATCGCATCTACATCAAAAGTAGCGTGAAATAGAAATTTTTTTGCAATTTTTAATTATTCCAAAAGAGTTATAATATAGTTTATATATATTTTATAATGCATAATTTTGGAAAGCATTTTAATGTAGGCTCGTAATAATAGCCGACTTATCGTTTTCGTCTAAATTTCGATTTGTAAGTCGAATTTCCTTATTGTGAAGGCCAAATGCCTACTTTGAGGGCAAATTTCCTTAATCAAGGCATTTTTATTTCCAAATCGTTGACTTTGAAGGCGTCTTATCGATCAATAAGGCATTCTGACTAACAAGTCCAATTTCCCTATTTATAA